GTCAGTTTTATGCAAAGCAACGCGTTTTAAAAAACAGTGTGCTGAATTTCAATTACTGTTTTAGTCTCATTGCCCCCAACTCAAACCACAACTCGTTGGTAAATAATCGATGAAATAGTTTGTCTGGACACATTCAAGTTCCTCTCACTGTCACCTCAAAGCTGTGAAAATTTGGTGTTAATCCGACGACAATAAGTATACGTTATTTTTTGTTAAAGACCTTGTATTTTGAAAAACATAAACTCCTAGAAAACGTCCATGAAGTAACAGCAAAGATTTTCAAGCTTGTTTATCGGCACAATCAATTTGTTTTCCCATCAAGGTCTGCTTTAACATGTGTAGGGACATCCAAATGTGTAAGGCTATTGGAAACTAAAAAAATAAAAGAATGGGATAGCTATATTTGGATAAATTTGGCATACGAAAACACCAAAATCAATGATTTTTTTTCAGTGGCTGTGTGACCTTGTGTCTGAAACATTCATATGCAAATGACTAATCTGTGAAACAAACAGGGGCGGAGACAAACCACTCAAATGTTTGGAAACACTCATTGTGTGTCAGATAGCTATTGATAACAGATTCTAACATTACTTTGTCTTGAGTTTATCTTTGAAACTTATAGGCACACAGATTAAACCTGTGTTGTTGATTTTGGAAAACACTACTGAGGCTGCCTTGCTTCCCTTCAGAAAATCTACATTTTAACCAACTTACCTGACATTCTATGTTATGTTGACTTTATCACATGAAAGTTTTTAGTGCATTTCATCAATTAATAAATAAATGTGAAAATCCTAATTTTCAACACAAATAATAGTCTCGCTACCTTAAAGTATTTACGCACCACACTATACTCAGTTACTACCTACGATATCATACAATAAAATAAACTCAATAATGATTTGAATAAATATATTTATATATCTAATAAAATATGCATAAATTGTCATTGTCATGCAAGATTGAATAAAACGGCAGTCTGAACGAAACAGTGTAAAAACGTTCGAATTCTCTATGAAGAATACCATGTAAATGCAAGCTCATGAATATTCATAGAATGCGGCGATTGTCAATAATGTGTGTCGACATCTTCGTTTTGGCATGGTATCGACGAGTTTCCGACACATGCTCACCTGGAACTGTACCCAAGCTTCCATTATACTCGCGTATAAATCCTTGATGTTAGCGACTGGTCGGGAATGCACCTCTAAATCGATCAACTCCCAAAGGTTCTCAATAGGGTTCAAATCTGGAGACTGTGCAGGCCAATTCAAAGTGGTAAAGTTGTCGAAAAAAGATATCCGTACTCTTGTGGATTATTTAGAAAATCCCTCACTGCCAATGCTTTGTGGACGGGGGCATTATCCTGTTGGAAATGAAAATTGGGTCCAACGAGTGTTAGTGTCGACGGTATCATTTTGTTTTGCAGGATATCCAAATATTTCCATCTGTTCATGGTCGTCGGTACTGTGATAGGTATTTTTGATGTTTAAAAACCTTTCACTTAGGTAACCGGGATTCGGTCGTTTTCCACGCTAGACTCACAAGAAACACACACAAGCTCCATTCATGTTCCAAACGATTCTCTGCCAAGTCCCTGGTTTTCACCCGAGACAGCATTAAAGCACTCTTTATTTCTTGTCACTCCTTAACCAATTACAATCAGTATAAGAGACTCCAAGGCCTTGCCTTCAAACAAACAACCAATCACATGAAAGTTTTACACATCATAATCAATTGATTAATCGTCAAGCTATTTAGAAAATCACTACTATATTGTCAACACTAACTAATATTTATGGGGTAATAGTCTTGCAATAACATTCCACAAAGATACCACATTAGTTAGAATCGCAAACAAGATTGGTTTAGGATTACAGCTACTGTACTGTAATCTTTTAAAACTGCAGACTCATAAGATGTCTTTGGCTGATTTCAACTAGCTCGCCATCTGGCCTTGTCATTAACCTTTATCAGTAGATGTCATGGCAACCACTGTCAAACTGACTGACCTCGTCATTTAACCCCTATCAGTAGATGCCATGGCAACCACCGTTAGGCTGAAATATAAATCATGACAGTACACTGACTAGCGACTCTAAGCCGTTAGCCGAAAAACATCCCCACACCATGACGCTTCCACCACCAAATTTTATTGTAGGTTTAAAGCATTTCAGCTCGTACTCTTCACCTGGTCTCCGACGTACAAATAATCTTCCACGGCTACGAAACACCGTAAACTTTGGTTCGTCTGACCAGATAACTTGAGCCCACTGCGCTGGAGTCCAGTTGATGTGTTGTCTGGCAAATTGCAACTGCGCTGCGATGTGTCGAGGTTGTAGTTTTGGTTTCTTTTTAGCAACACAGCCGCGAAGATTACCATCCTTATAGTCTTGATCTTATAGTGCTCAAACTCAATCTTTTCCCAGTGAGTTGATTAAAATTGGCACGCAAATCACAGGCGATGTGAAACCGATTCGCTAAACTAGACCCGATGAGTAGTCTTCTTGCTATTTCCCTATTAGAAACTCCTTCTGTATACAGTGCTTCAATGTTCCCTTTAGTAAATTCTGACAACTTTCGGCATGGCTCAATGTTTGTAAATAAAAATTACGTATCTGACACTATGACCTCGATAGAAATATTCATGATATACAACTGACAGGCGCGTGTTGAAATATTTTCAGCTTCCCAATTGGTTCAAATTTGCATGAGAAAGGACACGACTATCGCACATGTTTTATGGCGCGAAGTTTTAATGAGATCCAAATGATATGCATATGAGCACGCTACCATTTCGCTCACTGAAAAAATGTCTACATACAAAAATACTGAACACAAATCAACCATTTTATTTTGACTAAAATGCACTAGTTCTTCTTAAATTTAGTATATTTTAAAGTCAACACATCATGTTACCCGGAATTGTTATTTTTAGTTACGAAAACGATCAAATGACAAAATAAATACTTTCTGGTGGGTCTGTATATTTAAATTATTTATATAGGTAAGTATTTGATTATTAGGGAAGGGGAATAAGGTTGTTAATACATTTTGTGTGATGAAACACACCACATGTATAGTAGTGGGTTATTTTCGTAACCCTACTGACAACCTAACTCGTTTATCAGTAGCCCGCCAAGAAAGCTACTCGTACTCATTCCGTATTTGTTTTTTTGTGTTAGGTTCTGGAACTATTGAGTAGTCCACTTGAGAGCTGTCACAGTAGTCTGTTATATGAAGATGGAAAGGGAATTAGATCTATTGTACTTTCAATAGTAGCTTTACAAGTAAGTCACAGAGTACATGTCTTGATTCTCATATTAGTATGCCCTCATCTATATACCTCAAGTAAGTAATATACTTCCATGATTCATATTATGAACATGCATTTAAAAAAAATTGTGTTTGTTCATCCAAAGCCATTTTTCAGACATGCTTTTATTTATTTCAGTCAAATTTAACACAAAAACCATGCATGATTTCCATATGCATGATAATTCACTTCACCAGTTGATCAACTATGGTTGACTAAAGGCCATTTTAGTCCTTAATTATGTTAACTTGTCGTACTTAAACTTGTTTGGAACTGTTTTTTTGCAGATGAACAGGTTTATTTCATTCAAACTTTGTTTCTCACATTTTGGATTTCAGGTCTTGTATTTTTCCCGTGATTCAGACAAAATTGGATGACTGGTGGCCATTTTGTTTTTATTCATGTACATACAATTACAAGTCCTGCATCGTATATACCCAAAACAGATATACTAATTAAACACTCTAACCCAATTATCAGCCCTGCACCATATATACCAAATGGATATACCAATTAAACACTCTAACCCAATTATCAGCCCTGCACCATATACCAAATGGATACTGTGGAATACTTTATTTTTGCTGGAATTAATTTTCGCTGAAAACGTTTTTTGGGCGTTTTGCTTGGAATTTATTTTCACTGATTTTTGATGAGTTTAATGTGAAGTATAGGAAAAAAAGTATATTCGCTGGATTTTATTTTCACGGAATCATCCCTTCAGCGAAAATAAATTCCAAGCGAAAATAAAGTATTCTACAG